CAATCCAGCCTTGGATAATCTATCCAATACCTGACCCAAATGCTCGAGATGTTCTTCAAAGGTGTTGGAGAATATGCATAAATCATCAATATAGCAGATGACTGTTTTCCATTGCAATCCGGCTAATACTAATTGCATAACTCTCTGGAAGAAACTAGCTGAGTTAATCAATCCCTGGGGTAACCGTTTGTATTGGAACAACCCTTCATGAGAAACAAATGCAGTCTTTTCTCTTGACCCATCGTCTTCTAAAGGCAATTGGTGATATCCTTGACATAAATCAAGACAACTTATGAACTTTGGTTGGACTAAACCCAAACTATCTAAACAATCTCCTAGATGTGGTATAGGAAATTTATCAGGTATGATTTGCTGATTTAGCTTTCTTAAGTCTGTCACGAAACGGAATGATCCATTCGATTTATTGACCAATATTATAGGTGACGCATAAGGTGAAGTTGATGGTTCAATAATTCCTTGGGACAACATATCTTTGACTTGTCTGCTTATTTCATCTCGTTTCTGAACTGGTACTCTATATGGGGACTGGCGAAATGGTACTTCCCCTGGCTTTGTTTTTATTTTGAGTTTGAGCAGGTCGCAATAACCTAACTTGCCGGTGGAATCTACAAAAGCATCTGAGTATTTGTTTACCATTTCATGAACCTTGACCTTTTGTTCGGGAGTTAACTTTGAATTTGATAGATCTATCTTGACTTTCTCATTTCTTTTTTCAAAAGCGTTCGTACTGTGCTCGCCGTCTAATGAGAGTGTGTTAATTCCTTTCCTTGAACTGACAAATGTACCTACGCTGGTATTTTTAGGCACTTTTATTGCGCGTTTTTCCGGGTTTAAAAGTTTCATTGGAACAAGACCATTTGTAATTGAACCGATGCTTTTTGCTGTAAATACATTGGATCGCGAATTCACCGCTAAACATTCGCCTATAAGATTTTCCGGAGGTCTACCCTTGACCTTTGCATAAACAATCATTTCAGTCTGAGGAGGTATAATGATCTCTTGGTTCAAAATGAGAGGATATTTATTGAGCGGCTTCAATCTCAACTTTCTGACATTGAAATCAATCACAGCTTCATGTTTGTTCAGAAAATCGGCACCTAATATTATTTTTCTTTTCAATCCTCGGATGACATATAACATTATCGGAATACTTACCTTTCCAAAGGTCATTTTTGTGAAAATTTTTCCTCTTAAATTCAATCTTTCATTTCCGGCTCCAACAGGTTTGATATGAAATTCAGGATATATTTTTATATCATAATCCTTTATGGACTCTAGGTGCTCTTCATCAATCAATGATATCTGTGCACCTGTGTCTACGAGACACCATACAGTACTGTTAAATAATTTTGTCTTTATCGCATTATCCTGATATAAATTTTCCTGAATTTCAATATCTCCGATAGATTTCTTGCGAGGATTGCTTTTAACATATTTCTTCGGCCGTGACTTCAGTTCTCGCTTCTTTAGACGCGGCCTTCGGCGTTTAAAGAGTTAACTGGATGTGTCTGATTGACATTTTGCCTATTTTTGGCCAAGCAAAACTTTGCTATGTGACCTTGACCTGAACAATTGTAACAGCGGACATTTTGATTATTGAATGACCTTGAACTATTTCTCCTACAAAATGGCGCTGAATGTCCCTTCCTAAAACATTTTTGACAAGTTGGCCTTCCATCAATGAATCTATTGTTGGCAGTATTTTTCCCTTTTTCTCTGCTAAGTTGGGATACCTTTTCAGTCAAAGATTTGATAGCTTTTTGCTGGTTTTCTACTATATTACACATTAAATTTTATGTATCTACCTTGCTTTTGTCATTTTCAGCTTCCTTTTCTACTTGATTCAAACAATCAGCTAGTCTGGCTGCTGACTCAACAGCGGCGAGATCATTTGGTTCTTTCGAGATCACAAATTTCCTTATATTTGGGAGAACATTTTTGATTAAAATTGTTTTATGTTCATTCTCCTCTAACTGTAAGCGCGAGGCTAATCGCCTTATATCAGTCATAAATTCTTCAACTGATTCATTTGGCTTCTGATTTCTCGAGAGTAATTGAGCTTGTATGTTCCATTTTGGCCTGTTTCCCACAAAATATTGCGTAAAAGCAGTTTGAAGTGCTTCGAAATCATGTTGAGTTTCTTCTGGGAGATTATTATACCATAATTCAGCATAACTTCCCAAAAACATACGCATGGCTCTAACTTTTCTTTCATTGTTCCACCCCTGTAAATCGCCATAGGCATTGTACCTATTAACCCAATTCAGCGGGTCGATATCCGAAGAATTACCGTTGAACGTTTTTATCCTGTTTTTACCTTCAATTTCATTTCTATTTTGAGCTTGATTTTCTAACCTATTTAATCTTTCTTGCAATTCGGCATTATTACCTTGTCTAGCTATTAATTGATCTAACTGACCTTGTAAATCTGGGTTCTGAGCTGTTTCTAATTGTCTTAACCTAGCATCTATAGCTTCCATATTGTTAGTTACTCTTCGTGTTATCATCTATTATGATTTATTATGATATACATTCGAACCCTGTTTTCCTACAAACCACTGATTTATGAACGGTATTTAATCATTTGTTCTAAACTTAACTTCTCGCTTGGCATTTTAGAGAAAAAATTTATGTTAGTATGATGTACGATGAAAACATGCTTTTTCATGCAGTTAGCTAATACTTACATAACCGTTCTTTCTTTTACCTAGGGCAGCTTCCACCAATTGTTACGGATCGTAACTATTATCTCGGGATCTTGTGGTCCTTCGGTACTCGCAGTGTTCCTGACTACCTAATCGAACACGACTCCTTTGATTTGTTTTTCTTATTTTATTTCCAATTCCAATTCTTCTTGAAATGATTGATTCGGTCAGCAGAGTTTCGGTAGATTCGCTTGTTATTGTTTCTTGCCGGCTTCTTTATATACCAGGTAAAATACATTATTTTACCTGTCAAAATTGTGCAAATATAAGTAAGAATATTGCTGATTTCATGCTTATGTAAGCAAGATTCAAATCATAATTCTGAGTTGTGATTGGTTGTTGGAAGTTTTAACTTGTCAGAATTCTTCTGATATATCTTTATTTTGGCTGAATATAGTAGCGTAGGGATTCCCCTGCACTAAAGCAAACTGAGGTCTAAATAGTCATTAATCATAAGAAAGCAGCAAGATCTTTACAATGTTTGAATATGCTGAATATAAATGGTATTTTATATTGGATAATAAATAATAAATAAATAATGAAGTAATTATATATAATTAAATATAATTACGTACTGACCGAATCATAACAGTAGCCTGGGCAGAGAGAGAAAGACAGTTCAAAACCTACTCTTTAATCGGAATTTTTGGGTAACACAGATACCGGCACCTACCAATAAAAACTTAGGATTTTTCTCAGGGACACAGATTTATGCATTCTACTACTCAAGATACGCCTCTTCTTGGTGACGTAACATGGGTTCTCGGATAATTCTCTGTCCGATATTCTTGAAATACCACCATATGTTTCCAATAACTAGTCTTTTGACTTAACATCTCTCGTATGTGTTTACCATATTTTTCCATTGATACATCGAAACATTCACAGTAATATATTTATGTTTCCCGTATTTATTTGTTTTCCCAACAGCATAGGCATTCTCTCTCACAGAAGTGATGTTTTGACGAACGGTACGTTTGAGTCAGTCTTTTATCAAACAGGACGTCTCCTTCATGATATAAGCAAGACTCGTTTAGATTCTGTTATTACAAATAAACACCGCCTTCATTCAACCCTTGAACAAATCAAGACCCACAGTTGCAATTCATGTATCATTCATGAGCAAACTGTTTCAACCTGATATATGTTTCAAAGTCAAAAACCCGGCTGGGTGTTCTGTTTGCTGTACCAACATATGTTCCCATAAATAAACCTTTACTGTGGAGAAAACACATTTCTGGCAAATAATTAAGAAATCACTTTCCGGACAGTAATGACTTAATTAATGCCTTTCTCTAAACTTCACACTTCATTAGTGTGTAAAATATTTTCTCTTTTTCCCGTCATTACAACTGGGTTTTTCCTTATTTCTTCCCTTAACTGAGGTGTCATATTAGACTCGGGCTCCCATGTGGGAGTCTTATAACCCTTCCACTTGATCAAGTATTGGGGCTCTAATTCACCCTTTTTAAAACGACCCCGCAACATTTTTTCAACTGCATAATATTCATCATTGTGGTTCTGTCCACTTTCACTTTCGTTTTCACATAGTATTTTCTACATCTTCATCCTTTGGTTCAGAATCATTTTGCTGTGGAAATTGATTAGGGATCTCCCCACTGGGAGCCAGCATATTAAACTTCACAAGACTTAGTTGGACAGGCTTTTGAAACCTGATAGCCAAGGCTGATACACCAGAGAGCCTCATTCTGAGCTGTTGCTTAGTGATGGCTTATGTTTCAAAATGGCTGCCCTTTTCATCTTTTTATGCATTTTTAAACAGTCTACCATGTACTACATGACTAACAAATTAACACCAAAATGAAATAAATTGCAAGGGCAATATCTAATTATCCCATTAGTAGAGCCAAAGATGAAACATTGATGACCTCTAGGGATTTCCTAGGTCTTAATCTCAGCCACCCTCTTTGAAGATCTGAAACTCTCTTAATGGCCATTAACATTAATCTATTATAATGAAAAATCTGGTTGTGGCACTGCTCTCAAACATCTTGATTAGTGTTGTTCAAAGTGTCTCCTATGCAGGTCAAAAGATTTCCAAGAGGTGCCACAACCAGATTTTGAGAAAAATGTGTTTGAAATCATGCCATCCCTCTATCATTATCCTATTTGCCTCTGCAGTTGAGATTTTACTAACACAAAATGGATCATGCTGAAATACACAAAAATGGATTGGAAATATTTTGTAGACTATGTGGAAATAAAACATCTTCATATAAAGGAAAATATAAACCAAAATCATGTATTGGGATACAGAATGAAGTTTTAATATGTCTTGGAATAAATCTTGATGATGACAATGCGTTCATGCATCCTAAAGAAGTTTGCCAAAGATGTTATTCTGCATTCAATAAGTTCAAAAATTATCAAAGACCAATTACAAAGGAATTAAATGAACTCATTAAAGAAATAAATTCAAAATGGAAAGTACAATCAGAAAAACAAGAAAATTGCTGGCTGTGTCAGGAATATGTTAGAATTCGCAATCCAATGGGCCTGAAAAGAAAAGCAGTAACAGACAATGATATGCTTGATACTAGTACTGGATCCAGCTTCAATTTTGATGAAACTAATCTAGACCTCTCAAGCAGATTCATGTGCAGTACTCCCAAAAAGCGATGCACAATGACGACAACATCGGTTTCGGCACAAGTGACTCCCAGTCGTGGTAGAGAGACTACAATCAAGGATATAATTGATTCAAAAACAATCAAGGACCCCTTATCTGTATGGGAAGAAAAACTATTAACTAGTCTAGTACGTCGGAAAATGAAGCATGGTCAAAATGACGGGGAGCTCATCTGCAAAACTGGAGGAAAGGTAAGAAAACAATATTACCACAAGCACGACTATTAACTTGTATGTCAAACTGTTATTCACAAATGAATGGATTATATCTTTGTAATGCAGTCCCTGAGTCAATAGAAATCATAAGATCATACATTAGATAAAGTCACATACATGGTGTTTAATGACCTTTTAATGTACACTTCAATTGATGAACATTAAGAGAGATCAAATGCCTATTAACAACTGTCTTTGTTATCTAAGAATTAATTGATTCATGAATAGGTCCTTATCACTTGTAATTATTACATTCCAGCCACTTGTGTTTATGAAAGTAGACAGGCCCCAGATTCTAAGCAATAATGCAAAATCACCATTGAAAAAGCAAAGATCAAGGAAAATGAAAAAATACAGGGAAAAATTGAGTGGTGGAATAAATGATTCAATGGTTCATCAGTTGTCAAATGAGTTTAAGGTGGAGTATAGAAAGAAGAGAAATCGTGGAATGATATCATCTCTTACAAAATTAAAGCATAAGAAGATCTCCGCAAAACAAGCTCTTACAATGAAAGCAGCTGCAAGGTTAACTTGGGGACAAACAAAAGTTATTATGCGACACCTAAAAATTGCCAATGTCAAAATGGATAGCTACAACAATCAATGTGAAGAAAAGAAAAAACTACTCAGAAAAATAAACATAAGGGCAAAATTAAAATTGTTAGCGCAAAGGGATTTATCAGGACCATCAAGCAGAAAAGGTATAATTTACAAAAAATTGCCAATGGCATATATAACGAATCTGCCAGCACATATTACGGAACACATTAAAAAAATGGAACAATACAATTTGCTGATAAAAGATCATCCTGTTATACCTCAAAATGAGATTTGGATCAAAATTGGAGGTGATAAGGGAGGGGGTAGTACGAAAGTAAGCTTTCAAGTACTCAATACAAATCACCCAAATGCGACAACAAACACACTTGTTTTTGCTATGGTCCGTGCTAGCGACAGCCGAGAAAACCTGGAGGCATTATTGAACCGATATAAACCGGAGTTTGAACACTTAAAAACCATGAAATATAATGACAAATTGATAAGGCTGTTTCTGTGCGGAGACTATGAATTCCTCACTAAAACAATGGGATTGTCTGGCCCTGCTGGCACATTCCCATGTCTATGGTGCAACATAAACCACTCAGAATTTGGTATTCCTAGAAAGGATCGAAAGAATATCTCAGAGAGAAATCTCCAGGAAATGAAAGGATTATACAACGAATTTTTGATTGATGGAGATGGAAAAAAAGCAAATGCTAAGAACTATAAAAACGTTATACATTCCCCTCTATTTGATATAGAACTCTCCCATATTTGCCCCCCTTACCTACATATTTTACTTGGATTTGTCCTCAAACACCATAATACATTAATATCTGCATGTAACAAAATGGATATTATTATTGCAAAGCGCATCGCAAAGGAAGATATGGACGCGGAAAGTGGAAGTGATACAGTCTATGGAATTTACATAAAAGGATGGAAAAAACTATATGGACTAAAAAGGAAATGGGAAAAAACTTCAAATACTTCACAAAAGCAGAAACTTCATGATCAAATGTGGGAAATAAAGGAAAAATTAGAACTTAAACTGGAATCTGGGCCAGTTGCTGCCTCGTTGGATGGCATACTAAAAAAACATAGTATTCACAGAGCGGCGTATCACGGAAAAAGCCTGGTCAGCAACCATTGCCACAAATATCTTAAAAGAGAAGTGTATGAGGATTTGGGAGATGAGGTTGTTCGAGTTTCTTCTCAAATGTGCCAATCTTTAGGAATTAAAACAACAATACTGAAACAAGCAACTGAGGCCAAGAATAAGTTCATAAAAATAAACGATGCCTTTGCCCAGGTGCATGTTTTGATCAGCCATTGCAAGAAAATAGAAAATGACGAAATACCTTTTATCCAAAAATCCATAGACAACTATCTAACAACATTTAGAACACTTTACCCAGACATGAACATCCCACCCAAGGCACATATCTTGGAAGACCATATAGTACCCTGGATAGCTCGTTTTAATTGTGGCATGGGCCTGCAAGGAGAACAGGGTATCGAATCGATTCACAAGATTTTTAATGAACTAGATCAAAGAATGGGCTCGGTAAAAAATCCAGTCAACAGGATTACATCAACTCTCACGGAATTTTATTTGGCATGTCAGCCTGAAATAATCAGCGCCAATCCCATCGTTAAGAGAGAGAAACGTAATGTCATCAAGAAGCTGTAATATGTAAGTTAAGACTTTTTTTCCATTCATCAAAGACATGTAACATGTCTTTGCTAGCATTCAAACAGCATACATTTACACACATCACAATATCTAAAAAACAGAAGATAACACCATAAAATTAATACAATTAATTTGAAAAGTCTACAAACGTGCATGATTTTAAACAAAATGACTAATAATTAACCGACTAACAATATATAACACTATTACTATGAAAAATTCAAGAAATTACTGTGAAATGTATAGTGGCCATTAAAAGGGGATAAGTAAATTGACTGTTGTAACTTAATACCTAATGCATACATGGCTATCAGGCACACATTGCCTATTAGAGTTAAATGTTAATGGGATCTCCACTAGCACCACTAGTGGATATCTATATCACTACAACTAAATCTACAGTTCTGGCTCCCAGTGTCCCCTTCTTTGTCTTTTCCATCATCGGATTCGTCAACCTTCTGTTTGGAATCGTTTGGTTGAGAGACTTGATTAGAAGTATTTTCTGCTTCCTTGTCTTCTTCATCAGATTCGAAACACTCTTCAGGTAATTTTTCTGCATCCATCATTTCTTCTTCTGTGATTACCTCAGGGTCATAACCTTCAGGTAACACTTCATTCGGTATTCTTATGTTTCTCTGTTCAGCTCTCTTTAATCTGCGAACATTTGCTGGGATGGGCATAATACGCCCATCCGAAATCCTTCTCAATATGAAGGCATTGTCAGCTTCATTCAAGGATGTATACAAGGTATAAGGACCTGACCAAAGTTGCATTAACTTCTTGGCTTTGATTCCTTTAATGGCTTTTTTCGGAGTATACAACATCACACGCTGACCAATCAATAGTGGCTTTGTATACCCTTCTTTATCCTTTTGTTCGATCATTTTTTCTTGATTCAATTTCAACTTCTTTTGGACAATTTTATTTGTCTCATAGATTCTACTTTGTATGGCTTCTAGGTGTTCTTGCACCGAATTTGACTTGCAGGGCACTTCCCTTTGTAACACAGTATCAAACGCCATATACGGTTCTCGGCCGTACATAATCTGGAATGGGGAATATCCATGAATAGTAGGGGTCATTCGGTACGAGGCCAAGGCTGCAGGCAACAATACATCCCAATTTTTGTGATCATCAGCAATCGACGACAGCGCCCCCATGAGGGTGGCGTTAAAACGTTCACATTGACCTTGACTTTGGGGATTGTACGGCGAAGATTTGACCTTTTTGACCTTGAAAAGGTCACACAATTTTTCGACAACTTAAGCCATGAAGTTCATGGCACGGTCGTGACTTATCATCAGAGGTGCCCCGTATCGGCAGATAATTTCGTCAAACAATAGACGAGCAATAGTAGAGGCTTTGATATCGGGGACAGTGAAACATTCTGGGAATTTTGACAATCGGTCCGTGAAAGACACGATATATTTATTCTTCCGTTCAGTCTGCATAAGAGGTCCCAGACAGTCCAGCTCTAAATAAGCAAAGGCAGAATCTGGAATTTCCAGAGGAAGTAGACGACCTCTGGTATACCTGGGAGGTCTTTTCCTAGCAAGACATGTTTCACAAGAACGAACCCAATTGATCACATCTTTGTTCATAGTAGTCCAGAAATATCTTTGTCTTACAACGTCAATTAATCTGTGTATGCCCGTGTGTCCGCAGGTTGTTTGATCATGGTGTTGAGTGAGGATTTCATCAATCAATCCTCTAGGGATTACTAACTGTTCTTTACATCTTGACAACTTAGTTCCTGGACCATCCGGATACCACAAATGGTATAAAACACCATCTCGATACACAAGTCAGCTGCCTTGAGCAGAATTTTTCTAGCATGGACGTCATTACCTGGTAATAAGTGATTTTCCAAATAGCTTATCATAGGCTTCCATTCTGCATCCAGTTTTTGTAGTGTACCTAACATCTCCAAGTTTAGACCAGGAATTCCATCCTGTTTGTCCTCTTCAGCTGATGATAATGGTGCACTAGCAGCAGGTTGTGTTGACCTTGCACTGACTAGCCTCTCACTAGGCACCGTATTTACGCTTAACAATTCGGTTAAATCTGACAAATCTTCCGGGTCTTCTGTTGGAGGATCTGAGTGTCGTATTCTAGACAAAAAGTCAGCAGGGACCATTTTTGTACCTGGTCGATGCAATACATCATAATCATATTGCTGCAAATGCATTATCCACCTAGCTAATCTACCTGTAGGTTCTTTCACCGACAGAAGCCACTTCAAAGAACGATTGTCTGTTACAACAGTGAACTTACTGTATCTGAGATAGTAAGTGAATTTTTTTGTAGCAAACACAACTCCAAGTGCTTCCTGTTCATGAGTAGGATATATTTTCTCAGTTTCAGACAAGTTTCCCCCTGCATAAGCCACTGGATGTTCAACTCCATCTGTTACCTGACTCAATACTACCCCTAAAGATTCATTTGAAGCGTCTGTCAACAGCAAAAAGGGCTTCTTAAAAGCAGGATATTTGAGCAAAGGGGCCTCAGTTAATTTCTTTTTCAAAGTTTCAAAAGCTTCTTGGCAAACAGCATTCCATTCAAATGGAACATCCTTCTTTGTCAATCTGTATAGTGGTCGGGCTATTTGAGAGTGATGACTCAGAAATCTCTTATAGAAGTTGACCATTCCCAAAAATCGTTTCAATGTTTTGGGAGGCTTGCACTCTAATACAGCCTTGACATTTGCACTTGTGGGGGCAATGCCTGAAGATGATACGTCATGCCCTAAATATCGAACTTTGTCTACGAATAGCTTGCATTTTGATGGTTTCAATTTTAATCCAGCCCTAGATAATCTGTCCA